GTAATCTGAATTCGGTGTGCTAGCAGGTTTATACCTGATAGACTCCCAAACACACGACGGTTTAATTCCAGATCAATAACCCGCTCGCTCCATCCCATGTGTGCCAAACTACGTACACCGATAATCGAAAACTTCTGGTCGATGGATATCTTCTACTGGCAAATTCAAGGTCTCAAAACTATAAAGCAGAACCGAACGAACGGTGGCACAATGTACACAACATGTCAACTTCCGTGAAACGTGGTGATAGATGACCTTGGGTGCCTCTCCTCATTGTGCCCAATGTCACAGTCAAAGTTTTATTATGGGAATAACTCGCAAGCTCGTGCTTCTCTTGTCTCTATAGGATTTACACATCTGAATGGTTTCCCGCCGAAAAAGGAAGTCACACAGAGTTCCAGATAGGAGATAACAAAGAATACAGGCTTCAGTGAATAAGCGTTTGCTTTTAGTGGTGTAGGCATGTGAGGTTTACCAAGGTTTCATAAAGTCTCTTTTCGAAAGATTCAAGAGTAGAGTGAAAGGAATAGTCACATTTTTATTGATCCGTTTTGATGACCACGTTGGACATTGTTCTTGAATGATCTGCGATAAACGCCTTCCTAGGCATTCCACCCCATAGAAGCCGCAGTATGGTCGGGGGTGAGTGTATAGGATTGCGGCTGGTCACCCTGCCCTTGCACCTCGCGAAATGCTCCCATACGACCAAGCGTCTCGAATAACTTCTGCTGAGGAAACCCTACTCACTGCCTTCTCATGGCGGAGGTGTTTTCCCACCAAAGTGACAGGACGAAAGGCCGATATCCGGGGCTATAACCGGGTTTGTGGACCACTGGTAGTTCACCTAGGGGAGTTGGTCAAAATCCCTGATTCCAAACCAACCATGAGGAGGAGAACGAACCACACTTGCACCTTTTCGGTTGTGGCAATCGTCACCGGCTGGATTGGGCACCTTGGACGTTTGACCCCATCCATAAGGCGTATGATCCGATGAACTGGACACCGGCTCCCAATGGATTGCGGTTTTCACACACACAGGGACAGCAGAACAAAAGGTCCTAATGTACCATTGAATGAAGCGTTCCAGATGGCCGTTTCCCCTTACCATGTTGTCTATCAGTATCAGTTCACCTGGAAGCTTATCAGTTGAGTACATCGGACAGGTTCTATTGACCGAAAAACGCACACTTTGTTTCTGTTACATTGGTGCTATACTCTGAAAATGGATGCATGGTCCGTTCTTGATAGGCTTTTGACAGAAAACGGGTTATGCAAAGGAGATGCGTTGGTTAAAACGCTAACTCATTGACTGCTTCGTTCGGACACAGTCCCCGGTGTCACCCAAATTACAATCACTGTACAAACACACGCTACAGATTATGACGCTATGTTGTGTTTACATGTTTGTCGGTCTACTGCAATGGTCTGATGGGAAATACTGAGAACAGAAAACAGATCTGTCCTCACCACCTTCAGGGTTCACTGATAGAACAAATGGCTTTAACCCAGGCTACCATTGGGGAAATCGCATTTAGACAAATCAAGTACAAACGATAAATATTATCTTATGCACTGAATAATACGCAAATATTACTGCTATGCTAAATTGGAGACACCTACCGTAGGTCTCGTACAACAAAGTCTGCAGCTGACCGAGGTTGAAAGTTTCGTCCAATCGACGACTGTCCACTGTACTGGACCCCTGTGATGCGACTTGTGACAATTTGATCCACAGGAAATCGTCGATATTGCGTGCCAACTCCGAATGACTCTCATTCAGACTGCTCACACCGAGGACGGAATAGACCACTCTGACAGTGTGAAGGGAGAGAAGAAGTTAGTTCAGACAGCACGAATTCCACTCTGGAGATATATAATTCAGTTCGAGGGAAGCGTGCGTGCGTAGAAGAGTAAGAGAAATATCAACACGTACAACATCATGCCAAGATTTATCAGCATCACCAAACTACCCGGATGCACTCGTGCACTGAACAGATACGAGATGCAATAAAAAAACGGCGCGGTGACCGTGATCTGGAGTTAAACGATTGAGGTGGTTACCGAGGTACTCCTTCCTACCTGTCTGTTCTCGAACTGGACTGGGAGGGTTGACCTGAGAGCCCAAAGCAGTTATCTTTTCTTCCAGTAAAGTGATTTTTTCTTTTGCTCTTTGCTCCGCTGCCGATAGTAGCTTTTTAAACTTTTCTGTCATGTGTTTCATACACTTCACTATCAGATTTTCTGAGCAATCGTCACAAAACCACAAACGGTATGGCTGGATCATGATTTATTTTATTTGTTTGGTCGACAATTTTTGCACATGACGGATGAAAGTACTCTAGACAGTGATTGTAGGCAATGCCCGACTTGACGTCCTTTCCGAACCTTAACATACCACATATTCCTAATCTTTGTTGCACTTCGTGCGTCGGTCCCAGACACACTGCGACGGACCATTTTGATCCACTATGAACCGGGAAACAGTAGACGAGTGACAAAGGTCAAATTCTGATCTGCTGGGTAGACTACACGACTGGGGTCAACTGGTGCGTATCGATCGATGCGGTCGGCGATGGAGAAAGACACGTGCGTGCGAGGATAACAATGACACAAGTATATTCCACAAATTGATCCGTAGCTTTCTTGCACAGAGAGCTGATTAGCAACTCGTTGAGTAGAGTAGGAATTTATCTTCACAATGGTATCACAATAGTGCTGGTGCGAAGAACAAAAAAAACTTTTGGGAGCTTAGATATTTTCGTTAATCCTGTTGAAATCGAAAATATAGCCAAATAGCTTGGATCTAGGAATTTGTCTGATGAACAGTAGACCCATTCGACCCCATAGTCACGAAAACCTGTTGTTCAGTGATGACAACCGGTAATCTAAGCCCCGGGACTTGGAGTGGAGAACCACATAAGGCTACACTGAGTCAGGCGACAGCAAAGCTGCCTACCATCAAGGTGTTGGGTGGTGGTGGCGAGGCTTGAACCTCGGATCACAGCGTGCAAAACATGCTGGTGGCAGCGACTAAACCACTGCGTCAAACACCAGTAAATCATTGAGCTTTTTCGTCATTAAAAAGATAATTGCACCGTGGTTTGTTTGACACATGATCTGGATTCAGATATGCGTGAAAATGCATAACTAAAATACTATTAACCGCATATGTTCACCTTCTGACGCGGATTCAGTGATTTTTAAAAAAGTATACAGTGAATGGTCATGATTGATTGATTCAAACTGCTCATCCTTCAGACTTCACCTTCACACAAATTCCTCAGCTCTTTCAGTGAAGTCTGAAGGATGGTTAGTTCTAATCAACCAATCAATATCAATTATCTCACACTACTCAAAAGTAATTGTGAGTTAAATGCGAATGTCCATCAATTGGGAAACACGGAATAAAAAATAGCCCTGATGAATACACGCAGGAGGATTGTTTTTCCAGTTTGCAATAGTTAGCAAGATGTCGGTGTACTCCCTCTGAAATCTGGGACAACAATTCAGAACAGGGATAAACCAACTCGTATACAATTAATCGGACCCCTAACGCCAATGAAAACAGTTGACAACAATCTAGTCAGGTGATTTTTATATATAAGCATTCATATGCCTTCCCTCTTTCTTAGAAGTATGCTTTGGTGAGGTGGAAGAATTCATACTCGCTTCCAATTGCGTTTCATTTCACTACCTATGGAATCGATAGGCAAAAGAGAGACCTTGCCGAAAGACAATCGCTTGGGAATCCAGTAAGGAGATAAATTCCTGTGGTTGTGGGTAGTCACTGAGTGACTGAGTAACATTGTGAGCAGAACTTCGATTAAAGCATCCAATGGCCACGTTTCCTTAACGAGGAGACCACACCTTGATGCTATACGGGGTGGTTTCTCACAGTCACAAACCCAATCATGCCTAAAAGTTAAACTGAAGCCAGTTTCTTCATGTTTCTACGCCATGTCACAGCCACAAAGCGCAATCTCACAGAGTTAAAAGATCGGATAACTGGCTTCGGCTATAACTATCCACTGTTCCCCCTGCAGACATCAATCCAGCGAATAAAACACGAGTAGCAGTTTACCGGTCGAAATACTCCGCTAGGACCGGGGTCCTAGTTGCTTCCTCTGGAATGTTTCCACTCATCCAAGCCAATACGGTGTTGCGCCGTCCCAAAAGGGGTTTATTTCAGAGTGGATGAAACAGACGGGTTGTCCCGAACAGCGAGTAGATAACGGATGCAGAATCGAACAATACAAATCTGTAGAAGACCTCAAATATTATGGAAATTTTTACAATCACAACCAGGAAGATATGGGTGTGTGGTTTGTACGCCTCTTTCATAGGTGCACTAACAGTGGTTAACCGATCCGGGAATTTCGTCGTATTGCTGCGTTGGGTCTACGCACCACTAACTGACCGGACATACCTATGAGTAAAAGGCTCTGATTAATGTTCCCTCAAAACAAACACCGTGTCGAAATCGGGCACCGGTAGGTATGTTGTAGACTAAAGTCTCAGGAACCCATTTGGTGAACCGTCTTCCTCATCTGTCCGGTTGTTTCTTTCACAGGAAAGCAAAGGAGCGACCATTGGATGGAAGAAACCGAAATGGGTTATTCATTTAATCACATTCAGAATGTGATACTTGTGGTTCGTAGTCCCACGTTTCTTCCCCATTTGTATTAGACTACTTATTAGTAGCCTTAAATGATGACACATTACTATTGTTGTGGGATACTACTCACTTGTGAGTAGTAGGTAACATAGTTGGTGATTGCTTTCGACGATCAAAAATTATGAAGACCACCGAGGTTAAATGGCTGTATCTCAGAGAATAACTACCGATTGCTACGTTTATTACCCGTCGTGCTGCGATGGTGTGTTTCTGATGAAATGTTCTGTGTTATGTGCGCCAAATTAGTGATGTCCCATCTGTGATCCTCAATGAAAGACAAACCTCGACCAGCAGCACCTTCTGGAATTAAAACACTATTATTAACATTAATTATATGACTTACAGTTAAACTTCCATATTTGCTGCATCCCAAGTGCCTATTAGCCTGAAATTCATATTCAACTGGCACATTTGACGGACTACGGTTTGTGTATCCATGGATTTTGATATTCGTATTGACAAAATAATTTTATGAACATGTACTGTGTGCACAAAAATCTACCAAAGTTGGGGATCGAATCACGAAACAAACCCGTTGAAATTGCATTGCTGCGCTGATCTGTCTGCCGGGTACATCTCCATTCTTATCAGAGTTGTTACCGTCAATTCTCATCAAGGGGTAACTTCTCATACAAGATCAAAAAGCTACCTTACACGGAAACCTCGCTACCATTCTAAACGAGGGGGGGGGGATGCCACCACATCGGTACTGGATACCGTCTGGGGGAGAATCGACTTGGCACGGCCACCCCTAGTAGTCTACGTTTTTTGGAAAAGGATCATGGTCTGTTACGAGCAAGAGCCTGTTTACACCTGATAACCAGTCGCAAAGGAAGCAGGACATCCGCAGTAAAAAGCAAACGACAGATGAAATCGGCTTTCGAAACGGACCTCTTTCGTTGCCTCAGATTACGACCGTTCGCCACAGAACAAAATGAACATTGAAGCTGATCAAAGAAGTAATTTAAACACCTGGGTGGAAGAAAGCCCTAGGTGGTCAAGCTAAGACCTGGCATGAGGGTATGAAAACCCTAACCAGGAGACTGGGTCACATAGGTCCTGTTAGGCTCCCTGGCTGGGGACCTCGGGATGATCGTAACCGATGTTCAGAGACACTGAGTGATAAGGCTGGGTGTCGCAACCAGTGGCGTTCGTGCATCTTCTTAATCTCTTAGCAACTTTAGTCCACTGAACCTCTCCATTTTCCTTTCGAATCCACTTTCAGGCTTCCTTTCTTCTTCTATTCTTCATCCCAATGGGCATCCAAAAGACAGCAACCAAAACCGGCGCACGAATATTCGTGGTTATTGGTTGTTCAAACTGAAACTGAAAACAGTGAAGGTCAAATGAAGTCAAGATCTTTTACGTATGATCACGAGTACGGGTTCAATTGACACCGGCTCGCTTCTGGAATGAATGTGAGACAGGAGGGAGGATAAACAGACTACAATTAAAAGAACAACTTTGTCTATCCCGACTAACGCGAGCCTAGTGGAGCAAATGAACAAGCAATGTATCGGTCAGACACATCGTTTTGACTGATTGCGGCCGTGTGCAGAAACAAGTTATTGATCTCCGTAGATTACGACTGCTTCGGGGGGCTTCCTTGACATGTGGTGCTTTCCGAGACCGGTAGTAAGTGCAAGAGGATTCAAGGTGATGAGATTAATACCTAGTACGTCAAGCTTCTCCGTTGGAGCCACTGAGGAGTAGTGATATAGTTAAGTGTGGCGCAAAGTACCACTCGTGTACCCACTCAATTTCTTTGGGGATCTAATCTAAGAGAATTTTGTATTTGTATATTGATGTTGCTTCTATGTTTCCATCACTCCCCTCTACTCCCACCCCCTCTTCACTGACCAATGAAACGAGCAGCCGAAAGACCACAACCAAAATCGTCACAGGTCAAGGCACTGAACGGTACCGTTTGTACGATAACATCAGCTTCTTAAAGCGTCTGTGGGTACGAGAAAATGTGTACAGCGAGACAAAGCAAACGACGATGAGTGACAGGGATTAACTCACTTCTTAAAAGGATCCCGTGAGCTTTTGACCACTTGGACCGCATTCTGACGCAGTTTTTTCCACGAGGTTGCACTTAAACGTCGNAGAAGTCCTCAATGGAACCACTGCCCGACGAGACGAAAGAGAACGAGGAATCGTGTGAATGATTAAGTCACGTGGTGGTCAACAAAATGAAATCACAATAGCTTCATACTACCAAGTCCTGGTTCTGATTAAGGTCTTTGTCGAACAGATATATGCTGGTCGGATTGGAGAAATCTAAACAAAATGTAAGCTCAAGAAAACAAGATAACCAATGGGGTGTGTGGTAAGTGGGCTGAATACGAATATCATCTGATGCCTGGTTCACTGGGGTGAACATTTGAAAATCAAAACAGAAAACCACAAACGACTGCACTTTTCGTAGTAACATCTTTTCCATTATCAAACACCAAGACGTAGGTCACCGTGATCGGACCATGTACTATGGAAACAAGGGTTTATCGTGTGGTAACCAGAACTCCACTCTGTTCTGTACCCTAATCCACCTATTCCCTATTACTGTTATTGTTATTATTGTTGTAACGTTGACACCATGCTTGTCTACAACCCGGTGTTGAATATATATATATATATACATATATATATATAACCGGAACTCCCTATCGCCCCCTCCCGACTCAAGACCACGGATGCGATTATTGTTGGCAGACAGCTTTGCTGTCGTCCGGTTCAACACCACGCCTAAACTAGCGGGGCCCTATGTGGTTCGCCACCCCAAGTCCCGGGGCCGGTTTCCATCACAGAACAGCAGGTTCTCGTGACTGTGGGGTTCGCTCCGTCTGTTGTTCATCACATAAATGTGTGTTATAAAAAATAAAATAAAAAGATACTCGATCGAAGGCATACAAGGAAAGGAATTTCACTGGATCACCCCATTATATGAGGCATTCATTCGTTCAGTGGAAATAGATTGCGAAATTCCATTCGGGGTTCGTATCTATGCACCAATGAACGATTGAATGACAACTACTAGTTACTTGACAAGACTTCGGGAATATTATGCCAGCGGTGGCATCTAAAACAGCTAACAGTAAAGGGTACAATA